TCCCACATATGGAAACACAGGAGTAGAAGTACAGAAAGGAGGCCCGGAGACCTGGCTGCCTCGGTTCACAGCCACTCTGATCAGCGGACCCCGCTCTGCCCTCCAACCTAGCCAGGCCCCTCACCTCGGCAGCTCTCCCCAGACCCTGGGTCCCAAGGACCCCTCCTGCACCTCAGCCCAGTCCCCCTGTGGTGGATTCTGCCAGGGGAGGGCTCCAAGAAGCACCTCAAGCAACCCAAGTCCATAGCAACTGCAGGTCCCTACCCCTATGCCAGTTTCCCTGGACAGAAATCAAGGGCTTGATGGTCTCCTCCCAGAACAGGGAATTGCTTGCCTGCCTAGAAGGGATGGCCAGGATACAGGGCTGGAGAGAGCATGGCAGACATAGGAACAGCTTAGGGCCCCTGGGGCACCATCCCAAATGCCATGAGAGAGAGAGAAAGAAAGAGTGCACACCCCACTTCACCCAGGGACCAGCTTGGCACTGAAGGAGGAGACTCCAATTTTCAGTTGAGGAAACAAGGGCCCAGCAGGTGGCTGAAGCTGGCAGGAATCAATTAAAGCCGGGGAAGGGGCTGGTGTCCGCAGGGGCCCTAGGATGGCTCAAAGCTTAAGCATTGGAGAGTAGAGTGCGGGCAGGGGTGCTTTAGACATGAGACAGAGGGCCTGGCCCCCTAGCAGGGACCTGGGGTAGCAGGCTCTTCTTATAGGAATGGGGGTGGTGGTGAGGGGTGATGCTGTGCGGACAAAGGCAGTGAGCAGTGGGGGGTTGGGACTCAAGAGCCAGGGTCTCCACCAGATACTACAGGCTCAGCTCACAGTTTCCGCCCCCAGGCGCCCCCCCCCCCGCCCCCGCATCCCACCGTGGTGTCACTTTGACCCCCTTCCCCAGCGCTGCTCGCCTCCGCTGGCACAGCGCACACATGCGGAAGCCGCACGTGTGAGCACCGAGCCCCGCACCCCAGTGGGAACATGTGCTGCCCCCACCCCCACCGCGCACTGTGCCCCAGACCCCGGCTCGCCTCCACGTGAAGGCTTACAGCGGGAAGTAGACTGGGGGGTGGGGGGCCGTGGTCCCCAAGGGCTGGGGACCTCGCTCCCCATCCCGCTGCAGCCCCGCCCAGCCCCCGTCGGGTCGTCGCCCATAAAGAACTCTCCGTTGTCATGGAAATTAGTGACTGCTTCGCGGGAGGGAGGGGGCCGGAGCCAGCTGGGAGGGGTGGAGGCAGCTCTGGCAGCGGGGAGGGCTGGCTGTGCCCTCGGCCCCCCACCCGCGAGAGACTCCACGAAGCTTGGAGGGGTCATGTTTTCACAGTTCGGAGCCCAGCGAGCCGGAGTGGGAGGGGAACGCAGGGGGTCTGCCTGGACCACGGGCGCACCTGTCCCACTTCCCCCGGGACCCTCGCCCGAGGCGACCAGGAACTTTAGAC